GTGAAACTCAGAATGGCAAATGCGATCTCATTCAAAGCCCTCCGATCACCTTGCTCTACGACACCATCATCCATGTCAGATCAGGTGCGGGTCCAGAGATCTCTACACAGTGCCACTGTAACAGGGGGTTACCATGGTTACAGTTTAGCACAAACTGCTGATACATGTACATGACATGCATATTATTATGGACCTATGGTTTACAGTAGGCAGTAGGACACTTGCCAAATTTAGGGGGCTCTGCGGAAACCCCAAGAACCCCTGGATCCGCCCCTGCATGTTGTCCAGTTCCACCAGTAGCGCAGGTCGGGCAACCTATCTTCACATTTGTATGATTGTGCTCACCTTCCTCGACCTTACGCTTGTCGCATCATCAAGGTCCTGAACTCACCTTGGTGAACAATGCCAACAGATTGGCAGCATTTGGTACTGTACAGTGTACCTGTCCTGGTATGTTTCATGCATGTTTGGTATGTGGATATTCAAAGAAATGGAGCAGAACTCGAGGAAGTGCCTGCCATAAGGTTTGCACGGCCTAGGCGGGATAATGCTCGTAGAATCGGCAAATTCTGCTCGAAAAGCAGTGAAATTGGCAGAGCCGTACAAACCGTATAGCAGGCACTTACTCGAGTTCTGCTCCATTTATTTATCCACATACCAAACATGCATGAACCACACCAGAAAAGGTACCAAATTCTGCACATTTTCTTCCGGCATAATCCACCAAGTGCTTCATGTATGACGTGAAGGCGACTTGTCTAACACCGCGACTTACGCCAATGACCGAGCAAGCAGCACATTCACTAGCGCAGAGGATGGCGAATTTGGATCAACCACACCGTACCACTGGGCAACGTATTACTCGTAGTCAGATTATGATTATCGCACCCGACATGGTATTTTAAAAATAATATGACGATTATACATGTACGGTATAATAGAAATAGAAACACCCAAGCGAGTATTGTGTTTATTATTTTAAAGGATTTCCCAAAGAAAGGCATAGCCTATCGGGGGGATCTCCTAACAGTGAAAATGATCATAGATTTATATACTAGTGAAGCGACTTGTGCAGGCAAATATATGCCGTTTATAATGAGCGTGAAATTGTGTCCGTATCTATAGAGATGCTTCTTATTTTATTCCCTTCATCCTCTTTGAGGAGAAGAGGTTCGGTTGAACAGTTGGTTCTCTGAGCTCTCTGAGCTGAGGAACCTTGGTAGAAGCGAGCATGCTGTAATCCGCAGATATTTTAAATTTTGTAAATGTACATAATGGAGCACCACAACTGTTGAACATTGCCCATCGATAAATACACAATGTGATACTTGCATACTCGGACCAACGCACTGTACTCCAAGAATTTCAAGCAAAATTAACGTTGTATAAGAAAAAATTGAAATTATTGTTGCTCCTTTCACTGGCTTCAGGGTTCTCGGCAATACTATAGCAGCGTCTGCTGATTTGGTATTTGTCGGACATGTTGGTTGGTTTACTTTAATTCGCACAATAAACGGGAACTAGGTCCAATGATATACAGGCGAATGGATAAGCCGCATTTAGAAAAGAGGGGACAGCACTTAGAAAATTACGAAAGAAGAAGTATCTGACAGAGGAGTCAAGTGAGTATCAGGGGTGACAGGGTGGTCGAGGAGAGCTAGGGGGAAGGTTAGTCTGAGCAACAATATGGTAGGCAACTTATGCTAAACCTTTTCTGTCTTGCATGTGTCCTGTGCACGAGAGCACCGCTAAGGCGGAGTTGGTCTTTGGAGCAGACTGACAACATCTCTATGATGACAATAACGCAGCAAAGCTTGCTTCGCCCACTACACACATAGCGTAACTAGGTCGGGGCGTAGTCTCATTTTTACCAACATATCACTGATCGTGCCACAGCACGACCAACGTAGCTCATTGAAGGGGTGTGTGTGTGTGTGTGTGTGTGTGTGTGTGTGTGTGTGTGTGTGTGTGTGTGTGTGTGTGTGTGTGTGTGTGTGTGTGTGTGTGTGTGTGTGTGTGTGTGTGTGTGTGTGTGTGTGTGTGTGTGTGGTGGGGTGGTGGTGGTGATGGTGGTGGTGGTGGTGGTGTGTGTGTGTGTGTGTGTGCGTGTGTGTGTGTGTGTGTGTGTGTAAGGCTCGCACAGCGAAACATTCCTTCCACTACACACCACCCACCGCCATGACCCCCCCCCCCCCCCCTCCACCTCATGCTCACCGTCCCCATTGCAAATTGATATCAAAGCCTTACCAGCAGCCCTGAGAAGTTACGTACCAGTATAAATGAGATGCCTCTGGCTCGGATCTGGGTGCTTCTCGTGCTGTGGCAGCTGAATGTTGAGAGTAAATTTGTGAAGGCAAGCACCTCAGGACGGGAGGATTGGTCAGGACTACATGAAATATCGCCCGAGGAAAGTCAAATTCTGGCGACAGACGAGCTTAAAAGTTAGCCGTAAGATATTTATACTACTGGATAGTGGTCTGAAAATACAAAACAACATGAACGTCTGGCCCTTATTTAGTGTTTATAATAATATGCAGGCGAAGGTGACCACCAGCTCCAGTATCATTTTCTATAAATGGGTTTTGTAGTAGAATATACATGTACAATGTAATCAGGGAGTCGTAAAATACCGGTATTTTACGACTCCCTGCATGTAATACAAGCCAAAGACACTACTGTATGACAGTGTGCCTACTACTTTTCAGCAACTCACTATTGTCTCTTGTGTCTTCTATTCCAACGCCATTGTCTTGCCGGGGGTTGCGGCATCCGAATTCCTCACTATTCATTACTCCGTACCATGATGTGCAGAATGCTGACCCTTCTCTCTCCATGCTTCGCGTTTCATGCCATCATGGATCTATTTTCAGCGTGCTGTAAACCCCTATTCTTCTTTGCTTCTCAATCACGGGAGCCACGAATCTGTTGGCCTAAGAATTCTGCCACTTTGACAATCAATGTCAATGGGTGTCATTAGGAGCATGAGCCTGTCGTAGTTACTCCATGAAATCAAGAGGCAGTTGGGCACTATTGGTCATATTGTACTTCGGATAAAGAAATCCGGCGTGGTGGGTCAGGCTAGCGCAGGCGTTGTAGGGTCTCAGACGTGGGAACACCGAGCTGTGCACTGGTGTGTTGAGCTTACGTATTCATTCGTCGGATTTCATGGATCGCGGCAGTTGTTGTTGGCTATAGTAGTGGCATGATGTCGTCAGGGTAGGCCTGCCAGTATTGCATACCTGTCATACGTGGGGTCTCTCCATGGTGCGAAGCGCGTGATGTTTACGGCACCATTCGCACTGGGAAGATCCGGTGCCATGGCGAAGCTGTCGACGAAGTCTTGGGTTTGTCAACGCCCGTAAATCAAAATGGCATTTACAAGATTAGTTATAGAAGGCCATACTACACTGCACTGGGCTAATAGCCATGATAGATTGATAGGCACTGCTTTTTTATTTTTTTTTATTTTTTACAAAAAACACACACCATTTGACGGCACAAAGCAGCAAGGCAGCGATTATTATTATTATTATTATTATTATTGACTGGTTTGAGGGAAAGAGACAAACGGGAAAAGTCTGAAGAAAAAATTGACTGTCACCATTACTGTCACCATTATTATTATTATTATTATTTTTTCTTATTTTGTTAGGGATTTCCCAACAGGCAATGTTGCCTTGTTACTGGGAACCCTAAATGAGACTTTGTGTGAGCGCGAAACGAAGCAGGCGCCTCGGCCGGGCGACAAGATGGAGGCAGCGCATTCCACCTGTCGGCACCAAGATACGCAATGGAATGGAAACCATACCGGGAGTGGCAGGCAGGCAAGACTAGAGCAGCTGTAGCTTGGCCCCGGGTTGTGGCAGCAGAATGTGGGCCAGTGCAGCGGGGAGTGAATAGGAGGCTGAGAAGTGGGCTAGATAAACCATGCAGACAGCGAAAGACAAAGACGTATTGCTTGAAATTTAAGCGTTGCTCTAGTGTGTAGATCTTGGTGTAAGCGTACAGTGTCTCAGTGGAAGTTCTGCGGTCAAGGGCAAATATTCTTTTAAGACTAGTACGGCTAGCTGTGATCAGCTGGTTGTATGAACGGTGAGATAGACAATTAATGTAGGCAGAGCTAGCATACTCAAGGGTGGATTGAATAATAGATAGATAGAAAAGACAGCGATGAGACATATGGAATGGCAGGAGTGGGGGAGAGGCAGGGGCAGCTTGACCGACCATAGGGGGGACCTGCTGTAGCTTCTGACATTGCAAGGTTGCGACGAAAGTACAGTAAGACCTGTCAAGGCGACCACTCGGATACGGTGACCACCTGTCCCAGAAGACCACTGCAGCCAGGACCAAGGGATGCTATTTACAGTCAAAAGACCCTGGATAAGGAGACCGCCTGGTTACAGAGACCACGCTTTGAAAGTCTCTTGAGCGGTCGTCCTAGACAGGTTTCACTGTTTATACATGCTGTATGAAAGTAAATCAGTGAAGTAGGAAACTATGCACATGTGGTCAGTGGCAGCAGGCCACACACAACACCTCACAGAACATGATAATTATTATTATGGTTGTTGCTTTAGTTTCATTTGGAGTCGCATCACAAATAACAAACAGGCAACTTTGCCTTCAGATACTGCTATGTGTGTGACTGCACGCAGGATCTTCGCTGCCATCTGCCCCGACAACCGACATGCAGGTACATGTATTACTAATATCATTCTATTTCAATGGACTGCACTTCAAAGTTGTCGCTATGTTCGCCTCGTGACTTCGCGCTCGCGTGTCAAATCATGACAAGACGCCAGAGCCTAGCGCTGAAAGGTACACAACCTGCAGTTGACTTTTCAACACATGCCAACGATATTTTGATTTTATTGAGTTTGCTGTGCCCCAGGGAGAACTCTCACCGACATGGTCCCATTGGCCTTAGCAGGCTGAGGAGGGAGTGGGGTATAAAGCAACAAACTCGTTTTCATCATAGTGCATTTGCACTTTGCAAAGCTACTAGCCAGGAAGGAAAAGTCACAGGTGATTAGGTCCTTTGCATCTCTGTAGTTTTATTCGATTTTCCAAGACCAGTACTGGTGGTCACCTACAGGACGAGTAGTCGACGTCACAATATCTAGGGTCTTCGGAAATATAGTAAACGTCGAATAGTCGAGTTCACAATATCAAGCCTTCGGAATAAAAGTAACCACGTGACGTATACATGTATATTCAGTTTAGGCGTAGTCATTTGGTTTCGTAGCTCTAAGGATAGCGTCAAAAACACTTCAAGCAAGAAGAATGTGTAACTTGCCCTCGCCTGCACTGGGGAGTTTAACTCGCGTACATGATCCCGCACAGCCTACTACTATCACTGACCAAGGTCTACTGCCATGCCCGGCTGGATATTGTACAGCACCAGAACCAGCATCATCCGTAGGTTCCTCATCGTCGCTGCTTATTGCCTTTTCCACGGATGGACTGGCCAAGCGACCTCCCAATGCGTTCATGCTGTGGGCGCGCACGGAGCGACGGAGACTGTTCGCTGGCATGCCCGACGGCGGAAAACTGCGCAACAGCGAGGTCAGTAAGATATTGGGCAAGAAGTGGCGAGAAATGTCGAGCCAAGAGAAGGCACCGTACCATGGTTTGGCGTCGCGAGCTTGCCAACAGTATCGATTTCTCAACGCTCATCAGAAAAGAAGGCAACGCACCATCAAAGGTCGACCTGTTGCTGCTCGCCATGACGGTCCTTCCCCTACCTCCTCTGGGCCAATCAAGGCGACCAGATCATCTTTGTCGGGATCGACTCCGATTGCGTGGGAGAACGTGACGAAAAGCGTGGGACACGCACAACCAACGATACCTCAGCAGCACGCGACTTGTGATAACCTTAGCCCGGACTGCGAAATGGCTAGCTTGGATTTGGACATATCGACACCGCATAGTGGCAGCATCAGCGACCCGTTCAGTCTCAGAACGCTGTCACCAGAATGCATCCTCCACGTGCCAAACACGTCATTTCATGATCTGCTACAACCAGGGTTCAGCGGGGCGCAGCTTCATGCCCCTCCGGCGTTTCACACTCCAAGCCCCAGTGTTCAGGGCATAGGCGTCTGCACATCGACACCTCTAGAAACGGGACCAGCGATACCTACAGAAGCAGCATCGGCAACAGGCCTGCCATGCTTCGGGTTTGACGGGCAAGGCTACCATTCATTTGATTCCGAGCAACCTGATCCCGAAGTTACCGGCGACCACCTTGTCCTTGGTGGCGACATATGGCACGGGGTCTGTCCTGGAGCTAGCAGAACCAGGGCAGAATCTGCAGTAGATGTAACCATTGGTTACAGCCAGCCTTTGATCGAAGCACGTGGCAACGCCATTCATCGGCAGTCCTCCTTACCCACCGACCTGGATGCATTCAGACAGCAGGTGCCGACCGTCTGCTTATCCAAAGCGCCGCTAGCCAATCAGTGCACATTCTCCACTACTGCTGGCCCAGGGTTGCACAGGGACTGCGGCTTTTCTATTTCAGGCTGCGCTCCCATGGCATCCAGCAGTTCAGCCATCGCAACTCAGAGAGCTAACACGATACCCAATGCACTGGATATGGATACGCTTCCCAGCAGTGACCCCTTCTCCTCTCTGTTGGACGACTGGGATATTGATGACCTGGTGATAGGCGATGTTGAACTGGCGGAGGTGACAACATCGGAAAACCTGTTACAACCACCGTCCTCCTCCTCTGCCGACGACTGGCTGTTTGGACCGCTGAACATAATCTAGAGAATCGGCCATATGCTACATGTCCAGTTCTAGAGTCAATGGGGTCTTCAGTGCCGCACAATACAGGCCCACCATGCTACTACGTACCTGCCAGAACAATTCAAAAAAGTACGTGTACAGTAAAACCTGTCAAGGCGACCACTCGGATAAGGCGACCACCTGTCCCAGAAGACCACTGCAACCAGGACCAAGGGATGCTATTTCCAGTCAAATGACCCTGGATAAGGAGACCGCCTGGTTACAGAGACCACGCTTTGAAAGTCCCTTGAGCGGTCGTCTTAGAAAGATTTCACTGTAATAGTAGTTGGAACTGACTGCAATGTATGTCTTCCGCGACGTCCAACATTTTATGGGTTCGATTCTAGTTTACGGATTTTGTTCCAGATACTACATGTACGTATCTTCATTGACACTCCTTACCGTTTTCAAGGCCTCATTTTGGCGTGACACTGACAGACCCGCAGCTATGCAGGCCACGGACCTGAGGCTTGTTTTAATTAATAATGATTGTGAACCAATTTCAAGATAATATTATCCCTATTCAAGACACTACTGTCTGTGTCAACGACCACCGCGTCAAGATGTGATCTATTTATACACACACACACACGCACACGCACACACACACACACACACACACACACACACACACACACTAACCATTAAATTTTGGTGACCCTGGACTCTTGCTTTTGAACCTGCCTTATCCGCAGCGTTATCAAGTGGGTAATAGACACTTGCTTCACATACATAATTACAAGTATCTATGTGCTCATCGAGGAAAGAATAATTGCCTTTCTCTCACGTGTTCAACTCGGCCATGCCATTGTAAACGTTTTATTTCTACTGTACCAGTAGCTGCACTGGTACTGATATCATTCAGCTCAGCTTTGTGCGCAGTGAATCCTCTCTGTCGGTGCAATTGTCCCATGCATCCGGCGAAGCAATGCCAGTGTCAAACATGTACATGATTACATGTATATGTGCGAGTACATGGAAGAGTAGTAATATAACAGTCATGCTTATAACTATACTTAGAAGTAGGACACACTTCAGGCTCAACATTTCGAAAGTTTTCACCAGTATACTTTCATGCCTGATCATCAGCTCTCTGCTGTATTTAATCCATTGCATGTCCATGTTCATTTGATTTTGCCTGTATTTCATCTGATGATAAGGCAGGAGCGTCTACTAGTGAACAGTTTCAAAGTGTTCAAGAGCCTGACGTGTGTCCTCCTTCTAAGTATAATTGCATTCTTGTCTCCAAGGAAATTGTTCATGCTCATAACGTCGCAATAATGCTGTGAAACAAACTCAGGATATCCGAGAAGTATTGATACGCCGATGGGAACTGATATATCTATATTTTACTACTTTGCGTGTTATGGATAGTAATCTGTGAGTCGAAGCACACATCATTACTGTCAACTAAAATAATTATTTGTATCGCTCTCATTCTTCGTTGAATGTTTCTACCATGCTTGAATTGTATTCCTCTCCTATCTTTCATCGCCTTTTGTCTGACGTGGCTCCAGTTTTACACGATTTCTCAACTAGATGTTGTTTGCCCTTTCCATGTTGCACTCACTCTCGATCTTATTGTCCAGGCCTACATCCAAAGGACTCTGATGAGAATGAGAAACACATGTAGGCTCCTGAACTCTTCTCTTTCGCGTTCAATTTCACGGCAGTGCATGCATGCGTGTGTGTATGTGTGTTTGCGTGTGTGTGTGTGCACGCGTATGTGTGTGTGTGTGTGTGTCAATAAGCTGTGTGGTGTAAACCAGGCTAAAATACAAAGTAAATTTGTGGCGGTCTTGCAAGCCGTAAATGGTCTAGTCCCAGCACAAGTAACTACACGTATGTCTAACATACATTATAGCTTACTCGCTATCAACCCTTCAGCGTTGAGCATAATGTTAGTGTAAATAGTAATGTGTGTTTGGGTGTGTGTGTGTGTGCGTGTTTGTGTGTGTGTGTGCGCGTGTGTGTGTGCGCGTGTGTGTGTGCGCGCGTGTGTGTGTGTGTCAGTGAAAATACTATAGTACCTTCTGGTTCCATTCTCACGCCAGGGTGAGTCACTCCGAAAGCAGACCATCAGCTCTCAAAGAAAGGCACATGGTTAGAGAATATTCATTGGTTTGAGGGAAATACGCAAACGGGAACAGTCTGAAGAAAAATATGACTGTCGCCACCAGGACTCGAACCAGGGACCCTCGCTTGAGGCCAGCGATGCTCTAACCCCTGAGCTATGGTGTGGTCGTCATCCCAGCAGAGACCGTTCAACATTTTCTTCAGACTTCGTAATTCACACTTCTGGTTGAAGAATAGTAAACAAGTAGATGTGTCATGAGAATTGCCAGTTGGCATCTGACAGAGATGCCTGGCAGTCATGCTGTGCATCTACTGCTTACACAGCTGCATAATGCCGTTTATTTTAATTTTTTATTTTACTATCATTATTTTGTCGGCAAGGCAAATGATGATGATGATTTTGTATTTGTATTTATATCATTATCTCATGGCACATCATGATGACGGCCAGTAAAACTGAGACAAGGGTGAAAGCCAACCACAGCAGTAAAACAGATAAAACAAAGTTTAAAAAAAAGTAAATTATCGTGTCCGTTCCCGAAGGGAACTAACGACGGCCGCTAACACCCGAAACAGATAAAAGAATACAAGTAAAAGGCGAAGAAGGCAAAGGAGGAGACAAACCAGCAGGATATACATGAAACCTATAATTGAGCAGAGATTTTAGCAACAAAATTATCCATCGACATGCTGGTCTTGGCCTGCGTTGGTAATGTTGCCCAAAACACATAGCCAGCAAAGATCGGGGATCTAGTGGATAGGGTGGAGGCAGCGCGTGGGAGACTGAATGAGTTCCGGGTATTCCGTGTTTCGGAGAACCAATTATAAGCCTGCATATGCAAGGGTATTTTATTTAGTAATATTTTATGTATGAGAACACAGAGGTGGTACTTATGTCGAGTGGAAAGGGGACTGATCTTGGCAATTTCGTAAAGACTAGCGGAGGGAAAGCGACGATCTTTGCTAAATAAGATTTTAAGGAGCATGCGGTTATGGGTTTCTTGCTTGTTCAATACAGTAGTAGTTATGCCAGACCAAGCAGTATCACAGTAGTCAAGTAAGGGCAATATATAGCCACGATAAAACAAGCGTTTGCAAGAAAGAGGAAGATGTCTACAGTGGCTTGAAGAGCCCCAAGGATGGAGCTTGTGCGCTTGCAGAAATACTGCACATGGGGTGACCACGACAATTTAGAGTCAATAACAACGCCAAGATGCGTATGCTCTTCAACAATACGAATAGCAACACTTGAAGAAGGAAAACAAAGTGGCAGGGAAGGGGGAGAAGGGGAAATGTACATAGCTGCCGTTTTATCAACGTTTGGCTGCAACTTCCAATCATGCATCCAGGTTATAACCTTGCCAATGCTATCTTGCATGGCTTCGTGCAGTCGTATAGGGCAAGCATTGGAGCAAAGCAGAGCTGTGTCGTCAGCGAAAAGGCTGACACCAGGGGCAATATCGGGGAGGTCATTAATATACAGGAGAAATAGCAGTGGCCCAAGGATTGAACCCTGGGGGACTCCAAAAGTAACGGGTTTAAGGCTCCGATAACACAGTTGAGAGGCGTACAAGCTGATGTCGGTTAGAGAGATACGATGAGAGCCAGCCGATAGCCTTGCCATCAATGCGATATACTGTTCGCAGCTTGAGATGTGTTAAGTGAACGTACAGAGTAAGATCAATAGTTAAGAACATAGAACATAACACTGAGTTAGATACAACACATGTAAGAACAGCGAAAGAGAGAGAGGGTGAACAAAACCAACACTAAAGTGCTAAATACAGTTACGGTGCTGAGGAATTATGCGAGTGTTGAGAATACATTTAGGCAAAGAAATGGTTAGAAATCAAATGATTCAAAAGGGAGTGCAACATTTAACTCGGATGCTGAGCCAGTAATACATGTAAAAGGAGGAAAAAAACACAATGGAAACGAGCCATGAAGCAAATATCCACGACTGCAACAAGATCACCTCCCCTCTTCGGTCCTACCTTTCCAAGTCGAAAGGCTGTTGGTTTGCGCACTGGAGGTGTGTTAGAGCTACAATGTAGGTCTCGGGTCGTTGAATGTCTCAGTAGCTTGTCAGTTTTGTGCCCTGTTATCGCGCTTTCTGATTTCTTATCATCTTGTAACAGTTGTGGATAGTTGCTTCATAACTCGTTTCTATTGTGTTTTTTTCTTCTCTTTTTACACTCAAAAGGAATGCAAGAATAATAACTTAACGTTAGGAAAGAAGGACTGAGCAAGAACGGATACGAAAACAGATGTGGGAATGGGCAGAACATATTTAACGAGGCAGGAATGAAGAACACACTATTGTACAAGTACATCAAACGCAATAATAGTTCATAATACTAAAGAAATGGAGCATGGGTCTCACCACACTTTTGCCCCTCGAATCTAACAAGATTGGAGCCTATGGCTCTGTGGGCACTTGTAGAAATATGCCATTTCATTCACAAATGAATTCGTATCGTGCACCGAGGTGATACACATGAATCACAACATTATAATGGCTAGATTCAGTAGTAATAGCTATGAGAAGTATGAATGCCGCAGACATCACCACGCAACATGAACAACTTGTTCAAGGTTTGAAATTGTATGTATCCAGAATCGATTTTCAAGCTTTTCATGTTATCTCCACGTACACGTACACGTACACGTACACGTACACGTACACGTAGATGATTTGTAGATTTAGTTGTACTGTAGTCTGATTTATGCAATAGTGCAACATCGCGCATTGACATACAATTGTGCTACTTGATGTACATTGTACGCTGTCTGATGTGCCACAATTTAGGGTATCCCGACGGTTCACCGAAAACGCGTTCACAGAACGACCATTCACAGAAGGACGTTTCACCGAAAGACATTTCACAGAGTGTAAGATTTAGCGACTGTTCATATCACCGAAAATCAGGTTCACAGAAAACAGGTTCATTGAGAGCATGTTCACCGAATATCGGTTCACAGAATAGCAGTTCTGCCGAATAGCAGCTTCACCGAAAAAAGGTCGCTGTTGACATCGATATATATATATATATATCGCATTCGAATCCTCTAAAGAATAGCAGTTTCACCACATAACAGTTTCACCGAAAACATGCCACTAATTCCAGCGACTCTGATATACATCGCATTTGAGTCCTTTTACTTGTGAAACTAATTCAATAATAGTTCTGGTATCATGTCAGTTGTTACAATCGTAAATGTGTAGGTTTCCGCACACTCACAATGAAAGAAACGGCTAATGGAGAACACAGAACGAACAACATCCAGTAAGGTTGGCATCGCCGATTTTCAGCTGTAGTAAACTGCCATCATCCGACATTGTGGAAGCTGGTCGAGAACGTAAGGAACTAGCAACGAAGCACTGAAGAAAATCTGGAAAGAATGCGTGCTGGGCAAGATGGGCCAACCAAGAAGGGGCGGTACAGGAAGGTTGATCAGCGCCTGCGCACTGTAATGACCACACTTGAGCAACGCCCACCACTGGATTTTTTGCGTGGTATTGCCCATAATCTGGCCTTCTTTGTGGAGCCGTGATATGACTATTTCCATCAAATGGCACCACAAGTCTTCTTCTCCAGTGTTGTTTTGCATTTTAATTCATTGTGTTGTGTTAGTTTTAGCCGGTAAGAGAGGCACCTTTCACTACACATTTTATAAGCGGCCATGATTTGGGGTCAACTATTATAAGTAATTTTCGGTGAACTGTCCATTCGGTGAAAAAATCCGTCTGTGAAACGGGATTCGACGAAACAGAATTCTGTGAATGAAAATTTGGTGAATAGATAATTTCGGGGAATCTGCAGTGTTGGTGAACTGTCATTCTGTGAAAGGTCTTTCGGTGAAACGTCGTTCTGTGAATGGTCGTTCTGTGAACTAAGTACATATACATGTACATGTATGTCTAGAACACTGCATAAACATCAGCATCATGATTTCAAGACTCCACACGCCCCTCTCTAAATTCTTGCCTGTGAAATGGCTATCAACACACGCCACACACCACAAGTACTAATCCAGCCACGAATAATGTTCTGTCACATCAGGAAAAATCCGAACCTTCTCCTGTGACCATACCATCGCTCCGTGCCTAGCGCTTAGCTGATGGGTGCAAGTATCTTGCTTGGCAGGCAGGTGTATCAGTTCGTGTATGACGCAAAGACGTTGACACACAGCAACAACATGAGTTTCGCCCCCAGCTCCTGGGTTCTGTAGGAAATCTAGGCCGGACATCTTCAGGTTGACCGACTGGAATTGATTCAAAGCTTGAAGACACAACATGCAGCCAGGTCTTGTACAGCCTGTAAAATGTTGGTCAACACAAGCGAAACATCACACGCTCTATCAACCTGCACGA